ATTCTTTGTCTTTGTGTTTTAGCTGTTTTAGTACCCTCCACCCCTATCTTTTACCCTTTTAATAAATCCCCCCTTCCCCAGTGCTTGTGTTGTCGTCTGCTGAATCCAGTGTCTGCTCCAGGGCTCGGGGACCAGGGAGGCTCTGGGTGAGATTCAGGCCCCGCTGGCAGCGGGAGTGTGACACCTGCGTGGCTGTCAGCTGTGCCCTCACCTCGTCCGCCCACAGAGAGAGTGGAAGATTTCAAGAGGCCTTTTGCTCACAGCTCGAGTTTGAATTTTCTGTGTGGGCAACTCCAGAAAGAGTGTGTGTGTGGGTGGCTGTGGAGAGAGAGAGAGAGAGAGAGCGCACATGCCTATGCGCGTGTGTGTGCGCACGTGTGTGTGTGAGAGAGAGAGGGAGAGGGAGAGGGAGAGACTGAGAGAGAATGTTTCTTCAGATTGCAGCTTTACACCAGCCTGCTCGGAAGTCATCAAACAAAAAGGAAAACAATTCACTCACACCGGGTGCAGCCCTCTCCTCCAGAGAAGAGAAAGTTTTTCCCCTGGCCAGCTGGCCAAGGAGTTGCCACGACCTGGAGCTGCCCGCATGGGGCGCAGCTTTCATCTGAGCTGGAGGAGTGCCAGAGGATTCACCCTGGGCCTGTGACTACTCCACACTCGCCCCAAGAGGTGCCTCAGGAGCTGGGCCAGGCCCGGCCCTCACCCACCCAAGGCCCAGCGGAGGCATGGAAGGATAGGAGGCCTAGCTCTCAGCTGCTCTGTCCTGGGCCGAGGTCGCAGCGGTGACATGGGAGCCAAAGAGGTGCTGCATCTGTAAAGCTGCCAAGTGTACGTGTAAAAATGCCAGCTCCCCAGGACGGGGTGTTGGGAATGAGGGCAGCGGTTGCTCTTGGCCTGCACTTGCAGGTCATGCCAATCTGAATCCTGAGGCAGAGGAGGAGGAGGAGGAGGAGGAGGGAGCCTGGGAACATGGAGATCCAGACTTTGAGATGGCAGAAGGGCCACTGATCCCAAGGCCTTGCTCTCCAAGCGCTCAGCCAGGCTCCGGGTGTCCAGTGGGGGCATGGGAGGGGAGCTCTCAGAGTCAGCCGAATCTGGTATGACCGCTTGAACCCATCTCAAATGTTTTTATTTAATTCCTTCTTTGGTGGTTATTCTTTTGGATTCCATGGCAAAATAATGGAAGGGATAACAGACACGACTGCAGCAGCGTTTCACACCCTGTGGGAACAAATAAGGCAGCTAACAGAGGCAAATGCAGCTCTCCAGGTAGCTCAACACACTCCTGCACCTGCCATAGCCCCAGCACCTGCATCCGTCCCTGCTCCTTGAAGGAAGTGCTCCATGGATCCTCCAGCTTAATTTGAAGGAAACTGGGAACCGTTTTTGACCTTCCGAGCTCAAGCGGAACTGCATGGGAAGCTCAGGCCTGACGATTTTCCCAACAACCAAGTCCGAGTGGGATTGGTAACCTGCCCGCTGATGGGATCAGCAGGGAAATGGGCCGCTGCGACCCCTGACTGGCCAGTTACCTGGAGTTCGTAGCTGCTGTGCGAGTGTTTTGGGCATGCCTGCAAACGGAAACAGCGGCTTGGGAGAGTCTCCATCTTAAACAGAGAAAAGGCTCTGCTGGCACCCATTTCCAGCTTCCGATGCATGATATGCATTGGAATAAAGCAGCCCGCATGGCACAATCCCAGGAAGGATTGCAGGCCAAAATCCTGGCTGAACTGAATTGACCCACTCCGAATTTCCCCACTTGATTCAGCTCTGCCTACAGATTGACAGCCAGTTGGACAAGCATTGGCTGGGATGCAGAGTGCCGGGAACTCCATCCTCTCCTCACCGGAGCCCCTGTTGCCATTGCCTCCACCTCCCTCCCAGCCCTCTTCCAGAACCCGAGCCCATGCAGCTGGGGCTGATGAGACCTCGCCTCCCAAGGGTGGAATTTGATTGAGGAGGACTGCTGGATTGGGCCACTCCTGTGTCCAGAAAGGACATTTGGCAAAAATATGCCCTCCCCCCCCATGTCAGAAAACTGCCCCCTGCAAACGTGTTAGGTACCATGGCACTGTCACAGATGCAGCAGAGGTGGCCCAGGGACTTGGATTTTTCTTCGTATGCACATTCGATCTCAACTCTCCAAACTCCTGGGGAGCTGGAACTTGGGCTTCTGCACTCGTGGAGAGTGAAGCAAGAGGGAATTTCATGGATCTAAATTTTGCCAAACTGCTTTCTTTACCAGCTGTTCCCTTACCATGCCCTCTTTCCATGGACCCCACTCAACAGTGAACCTTAGAAGGCAGACTGGTTTTATCTAAGTCTATCTCTTTTACACTCTGCTTTGGAGACCATGCTGGGCAGCTTCAATTTTCCCAGGTAATGACTCACAGTACCCCATTGGCTGGCTAAACATGATCCTCAAATTTGAACCTTGCCTTGAATGTGTGAAGGGAGTAAAACTTGGTGCACAACAAGGAGTAGGCAAAGCAGTGCTCACCAGATATTTTGCACTACAAATCCTGTAATCCCCAATCATTGGCCATGCCGGTTGGGCCTGATGAAAATAATAGCCAAACCACCTGGAGGACTCCAGATTGCTTAGCTGACATAGACTGTGAAAGAACTCCTACAGGTTGGAGGACCTGAGGGAATCAAGGGAGGCCAGGCGTCCTGCTTTATTGTTCCATCTGAAAAGCTATCAGTCCTTTATTTCAACAGGTCTTCTATTTAATGGGTGGTGACCCAGTCCAGGTGAAAGACCTATAAGGAGAGAGACTGAGAAGCTGGGAGGGAGGTGGCCTCTCCATCCTGAGCACTGGATCCAGGCAAAGCAAGACCTACAGGCCACCGGGGCAGAGGAGCCATGGCCATGGGCCACGCTGGCCAGAGGTGATGGGCGTATCTAGAGGGGGACAAGCTGGCGGAGGGAGAAGGAACGGCTGGCTCCCCCGCCACACAGACCACCCAGAAACATGTGGTTCCCCTGAGCTGTCCCACCACTTTTGTAAACTTCTGCATTTCCCGGTGCCTGTGGCAACACTTTCAGAGCTGTTGCTGCCTCAGCTGGGAGCTAATCTTTACTAAAAAGAAAGTGCTGCTTCAGAAAAGGAGAGTCTCTACTAAGGAAAACTCTCAGCTGGAGCTCAGTGGACAGCCAGCTCTGCTGACAGCCAGCTCTGCTTCGTACATCCCAGATCTGGGTGGTCCAGCTTTGCTCGGCTTTGCCCTGACATCCGTGTCTGGCAGGTGAGACTTGACATAAGTCAGATATGCAAACATGCAGCAAGAATGCCTGCAGACAAAATACACTGTGCTGACACCACTGGAAAGCAAATGCTCTCTGTGTTCTTGCTTGGCCCTGTGAGTTATCCTATGGTCCCTGGCGAGGGTCCCATGGACCACAGGATAATTTAGATCCCCCCCCCCCGAGGGTCGGAGGTAATGCTCCATGCTGTAGCCAGTGCGGAAGGCTGCCCACAGGCCAAATTTGGTCTGCCAGGCCAGCCCAGCTATCGCACAAGGCTTCAGCTAAGGAATCCCCACTGTCCGCCCTGCTCCACGATCAGTGATAACATTCTGCCACTGCCCATCCAAACTGGAGCTGTGCAGTAACGGCCTGGGGAAGCAGGAGCGAGCTTGCAGCATCCAGAAACCAGAGGAAATTCCACCAGCGGATTACCACCTTTTGCCTAAGCTCAGCCCAGCTGCAAATCACCCTTTGCTGTGCACAGAACATGGGGGACGTCTGGGAAAGAAGTCTGCCTTAAGCAAACGCAAGATTGCCTTCTGCGTTGTGTTAAAGTGGAAAATGAGTGAATACGCAGGGGGAAGGGCAAGGTGGTTTCTTCAGCATTCCCTGGTTCTGCCCTGCTGAAGTGCAACTCACATTTTTCTTTTATTTTTTCTAGTGGTGTTCCCCAACAGCTATGAGGAAAAACTGGGGAGCAGGTGTGGGGGACAGCACCCCCTCCACGGCCATTTCTCCCAGTAAATGGCATTCCTTATTCATGCTAGCTGGCCAGTGCATGCTTAGGAAGCATCACTTATCTCTAGCATAACATTTTGTTCCACTCTAAAAATCATGAAACTGAAATACACTGTTCATCACCTTTATGTCTCTCTTTTGTTTAAAAAGATGCTACCATCTAGTGGGCACAACAGAAAATGGTAACAAGAACACTAATGGAACAGAACTTGTACAAATTTCCTGCCTAAAACGGGAGTCATGTCTCTGCACGGAGTTCCTGGTTCTGCGCCCTTGTCTCCTCTGAGGGAGGCGTGGGTCGATCGAACATGGTGGTCTCTTCACTGCTTGCATTTCCGGTGACCACGATCCAGTGATTCTTGTCTTCTTCGGCTTTATGGGAATCCAGGTAGGTGTGACAGTTGACTTCATATTCCTTTCCAAAGTATGTCCTGTAAAGGAAAGCAGCAGCAAATCTACAATGACAGCTGTAAATTTTTGTAACCTCAGCCTTACAGTCACATGGATGTTCTATACATTACTTGACGATTGGTAGCTGAATGGTAAACTTAAAATAGAATTGTATTTGAGGCACAAGTATGCATGCACATGCACACAGGCGCACACACACAGAGCACTGTTTGTAATGTTAGATCTGAGTGGTTCCAAATTAAGTTTTTATCACACTACAGTATTGTTCAGTGCTTGTTGTCATTCCCCCTGGTGGCATCCCATAGTTTTGAGGAGTGTTCTGAACTTTTCAGAGCAGGGGGTTTAGTGTGGTAGTACCTGGCCCACTACATGGATCAATCTTCTCCCAAGATTAAACATTGCTCAACACTTTTTTTTTATTTTTAGATTGTGAAGATAAATCTACTTGTGAGCCTTCCCTGTCCAATGGTCTCTCTTTGTGTCTGTGTGCTTCTGGGAGTGACGGCTTGCATAACGGAGCGTTCGTGCTTCTAAAAATAACCCCAAATGAATGGGAAGACTCATTTCAGGGACAAAGTCAGCTGAGCTTGCAGAAAGGAGCTCCACTGACTTGCCCCGGTCTAGAAACCAGCATTTCTGGGGTTATTTTTAGAAGTACATAAGCCCCGTTGCACAAGCTATCATTCCCATAAATGCATTTAAATTAATACGGCCCAACATATTATTTGCATTGGGTTTATATGTTTTTAATTTTATGGTTTGTGTACAACATTTGGAAATGTGTATATGCAAGCAAATTGTACATGCTTGTAAATAAATACATAGAAGACTTCCCGGAATTATATGGGTGGATGCAGATAGCACTGTCATCTTCTTGTAAATCACCCATCCTCTCCCATCTTCTGTTCCCCATACAGGAGAAAGGCACAGGATGGCTGCACAAGACCTTCCATGTACACCCAGCGTGTGGACAAACATGGCAAGTTGGTTCCCGTGATGGTGCGTGCGCAACTGAGCTAGTGGGTAACTGCATGTTTTGTCTGTGCTTGGCATCCCTTTGCTCCTCCTTGCACTCCAGCTGCAATTAAACCAGAAAGTCTCTAATGAACCATATTTTCCCATTTCATCTGAACTGAAAAACTGATTACTCAGGCAGACAGAGAGATGGTTGTACAATTGATTGTACAGTGAAAGGCAGGATAGATGGACATGCTCAGTTGGCCATCTGATAAGTCATGTTAGAACCTTGTAGTTCACCTATGAAAATTTCTCCAAAATATTACTCTCTTTTGAACATTTAAAAACCAGTTATTTTTTAAATGGAATGAGAATGGTCAGAAAAATGTGCAGCACTGAAAATTTCTCCCACTATTTGAGGAGAGTACAAAAGTTGGCTTGAAACTCAACATTAAGAAAACTAAGATCATGGCATCCAGTCCTCTCACTTCCTGGCAAATAGATGGAGAAGAAATGGAGATAGTGACAGATTTTAATTTTTTTGGGCTCCAAGATCACTGCAGACAGTGACTGCAGCCAAGAAATTAAAAGACACTTGCTCCTTGGGAGGAAAGCTATGGCAATGTAGACAGCATACTAAAAAGCAGAGACATCACCCTGCGGACAAAAGTTTGTATAGTCAAAGCTATGGTTTTCCCAGTTCCAAAATATGGCTGTGAAAGTGGGACCATAAGGAAGACTGAGCGCCAAAGAATTGACGCCTTTGAATTGTGGTGTTGGAGAAGATGCCTGAGAGTCCCTTGGACTGCAAAGAGATCAGATCAGTCAGTTCTAAAGGACATCAACCCTGACTGCTCTTAGAAGGTCAGGTACTAAAGCTGAAGCTCAAATACATTAGCCACCTAATGAGAAGGAAGGACTCCCTGGAAAAGACCCTGATGCTGGGACTAATTGGAGGCAAAAGGAGAAGGGGACGGCAGAGGTTGAGATGGCTGGATAGGGTCACTGGAGAGGTGAGTATGGGCTTGGGTGTACTCCAGGGGATGGTCGAGGACAGGAGGACCTGGAGGAATGTTGTCCATGGGGTCGCGAAGAGACCGAACACACATTTGGCAGCTCATTTGCTTTTAACTGGGTATCCTGGGAAACACTGCTGTTTGCAAGTGGAAGGGCCAGGGAGAAGAATGCAAGAGTGAAATAAGGGCCACGCTGGATGAGACCAAGGATCCACCTGATCCAGCATTCTGTTCCCACAGTGACCGGCCAGCTGCCTGCAGGAGTCCTGCAAGCAGGGCATGTGTGCATTTGCACCCTTTTGCTCATGGTCCCCAGCAGCTGGTACTCCCGGGCATCCTCCTTCTGCTACTGGAGAGACCATGGCCATCAGGAATCCTATGCACTCACAGCCACGTCTTCCATGAACTCGTCCAGTCCCTCCTTAAAGCCATCCAAAGTGGTGGCCATTACTATATCTCGTGGAAGTGAATTCCAGAATTTAACTAGGGAATCTGTGAGCAAATTCTTCTTTTACTCTCAGATAGAGTGCTTCACCCTCTTCAACCTGCAGTTCCCAGGATTCCTAGGATAAGGTATTTATATGCTAAAAAATGGTACCCGGCAAATTTTGGTTCATAGTGTAGAGATAGCAACAGTAGGGTAAACTCTTACCATATCCAAAAGTTGCGAGGAATTGCCAGCCCCTGATTCGTATGGCTGTGGATGATGAGGATTTTTGTGTTAGCCTGGAAAAAAGAATGGAATGGAGGGAAATACTTGAAAGGGAGTAAGACGAAGGGTGGAGCGCAGGGGAGCATGCTTGCGTCAGCTTGAGTTTCTCTCAGTTTCTTATTTCCTCAATCTTAACTTTGGCTCACATGAGGTTTTTTTTGTCATGTCTGCATGGAAACACATACATCTTGCTGTATGGATTTCCTGTAATATATACATTTTTGTATGCCACTTTCCTAATATAATGCATTGTGAACATTGCTTGCTATAATACATACATTTTTGTTTGCCTTTCCCTTAATATGCACATTTTTGTACACCCTTAAAACAACAACAGAGAACTCGATAGCAAAATTCAGAGAAACTAAATTTTTGAAGGTTTTTCAGTTTGTAGGACTGAACTAATTGAAATGGGAACTGAATGAATTTCTCCCCCATTCCTACATACAGTATAAGAACTTGTATGTAGCAGATACAGCAAACTTATGGGGAAGAAAACATGGCCAAAACGGCATGATGCACATAAAGATCTTACCGGAACAGGGAAGCCTTCATATTCCATTCGGTACTGAGGATCCAGAAAGGTAGCTTGCCAAGAGGCCAGGTAGGAAAGTTCATCTGTCATGAAGACAGACTGGTGGCTGGATTTCTTCGCCATATTTATAAATGTTTTGTGGTCACTCGCTAGAAAGAGCTGAAAAAAAGAGGCACGGGAGAGATTTATTTGGAAATCCAGCCAGAAACACTGTGGATGAGCAGAGACAGAGAAACCCAACCAGCCTGCTGCAGAGCAAACCCTGGCATTGCACGGACGGGGGATCGCAGGCCGCGTCCTTCCGTTTGCTCATTTGCAGGAGTGGTTGGGTGTGAAGCCGCCCTTGGTATTTCTCAGGAAGCTAAGGCTGCTTGCATGGAGCACTTCAACACCAGGCACACCTTGGGGCACTGTCAGGATGAGGCTTCCCATCTAGGCCACAAAAATGGACACCTGTGCACTTACGCAAGCTTAACTAAATAAATAAATTTGAAAGACATGCCAAAAATTCTATACCTGTGGGCTCCCCCTTTTTCAGGTGGTGGCAGACCAGTGGCAGCCCCGCCGACATGCCTTGGAGGGACTGTCCCCAGAGGCGGCACGGGTGAGGTTGCCCGTCTTGCCCCTCCCCTCCCTTGCTGCTTCCCTGCATCCACATCAGGATCAGGTGCCTGGGGCCAGACAACACAGCAACCCATGATGGGTAACAATAGGCACAAAACCCAAGAACAGCCTGTGGTTTCTCAGGGTGGCTTGCTGGGGGGGGGGGGGAACGCCACCCTGCAGAGCAGACCACCTGACAACCAGTTACCAGCCCCTCCCCACCCTACATCAGTTTCACATGTATTCAGTTAAACCCGCTCCATCTCATTAATCCATCAGTCTGCAAAACCTTGTTTTGCCTTGTTTTCTGTTTTAATCCTGCACAGAAATGCACATTCCGTTTCATACCATTTTCTTCAGCATGCACATCTGGCTTGCAATTTTCCCCAATCTATGTATATTTCATGTAGTGTATTATGGTATGCAGCATTTTCCTGATATACAGATTTTTGCATTTTTGTTTGCTCCCAAGGCTAAGATGACAACACAAGCAAGCAAGCAAGCAAACAAGCAGTGTTGCTGTCCAGCATTCCTTCTTGCCATAATGGATTGGTTTGTGGTAACCTGGAATTGCGATCATCAGGGTGAAACGGCACATTTTTAATTACCATTGGCTCTGGAAACCCTCCTGCTGTTCCAAGGCCAAAATTCTGCCCAAACCTCACAGGTTCTCCCATGGCTTCTCCTTCAGTACTTTAAGAAACAGACAAAAGTTGATATTTTATTTATTGCTCATATAGCAGCAACAGTGCACACTGCAATATTAGCTGCCCCAAGGAGCTTACAATCAAAAAGGTACATTTAGGAAAGGTGGGGATAATTTATCACCATGGTCACCAGCAGCAGCAGCAGCATATGCTTGGTTTATTTAAATAAAACATTAGTACTCTGTTTTTATTCAACAAGTCCTGCATGGGCAACAAATATTAAAATACCCACATTTGTGCAAAACAAGCAAGCAAACAAAGCTAAGCCAGGCAGCTGAGAATCCTGGGTTAGCAATGCTTTTCTCTGCAGTGTGCTCAGCTCCCGAGACAAAGGGATCCTTCTTTCAGCTGGAGAGGCTTAGGAAGGGCGTGGGGGTAAGGGGCAGGTAGGCAACCCCAGCAGAACGGTGGGGGCGGGGGGGGAGGGATAGTGAGAGCATTAAAAGCCAGCAGGGGGCAAGGAGAGCAGCTGAGAGCAACCTGCAGGACTGCAGGCACGTGCACTCTCCCACATCTGAACTGATGGGGGGACATTGTAAAAGGCGGGGAGATGGCGAAGCAAGCGATTTCACCTTTTCAGTGAGGCGGGGGGGGGTGTTTGGAAGCAATCTCAAGAGGAAGAGTGTGGTTTTCCATAGGTTTGTGGTCAGTGAGGGAAGTCCCCTCTCTCTGTGTGCCGATCCCTCCTTTCTTTTGTTTCTCTCTGCCTCTCTCCCTGCCACCCGAAGAACCAAAAATATGTGAAGGAATCCTCCTCCCTCTTTCTTTTGCTACCTCCTTTTCTCCATTTCTCTTCTTCCCATCCCTCCCTCTTTCATGTTTCCCCTTTCTTCCAGCCCTTTCGAAATTAAGCTGATCAGTTTTGTCATACTGGAAGCAGTACTTATTGGTGGGAGGGAAGGGCACTCAAAATTGCAGAGAGAAGGAAAGTCACGGTTCAAGAACACAATTACATTTTCACCTTAAAATCTGAAATACGTTCCGGCCCGCTGGGGTCACAGTTTTGCATGCACTCATTCCGCAAGGGACCGGCAGCCTGGCAGATCTGTGCACCGAAGCTTCATCAGGATTGACGGCCAGAGACAGATTCCCACACACAGCAGGGTAATTCTCCATGGGCGATTTGTTGTTATCTGGGCTCAGCAACATAACCGTGTCACCAAAGTGAATAAACCCGTCTTTCGAAACAGACAGCTGCTCCTGGTGTTAAGAGGAGGAAGGCCTGTAAGCCGCCTGTTCCACCTAGGCACCTTCCAAATGTTGTTGGACTCCCATCATCCCTCACATGCTGGCTGTGGCTGATGGGATTTGGAGTCCCACAACCTCTGAGGAAGCAAGGATCATAGCATGTTTTGAATGTCCAGCTTAATCATTTCCTTTCGGAGATGCATTTTAAATCAAGCCACAGTTAACTGCAGACAAAATACTTGAATGTCCACTCATCCAACAAGCTCATTTTGTCAGGAACAACCAAGGCAGACTGGTGGCCATTGCAGTGGGCTTCTTCATCCATTGGAGATTTTATTTTGATATTTCTAAGAGTATCCTTGGTGCTCCATAGCGGTGAACCTATTTTTGGGATGCAGTTCAGCACCATGAAAGATAATGTAAGGCTCAAAATAAAAGCTCTAAAGGAGAAGGCCGCACTGACGTGGGAGGTAGCAGCCGTCTCTGGGCATAACCTCCGTCAAGGCTCGCAGAAACAGCATCCTGTTGGAGAAATGTCATTGCTCAGGGATGAGCAGATGCTTCCCCAGAAAAATGCCCAGGTCCAGCCCATCCATCCATGCCTGAGCAGTCATTGCTGGGCTAGACGGACAAATAGTCTGGCTTTACGTAAGTCAAGTGTTTCATCCCAGTAAGGAGCCATAGCTCAGTGTCAGAACATCTCCTTTGCAAGTGGAAGGTCTCAGGTAGCAGATAACAGGAGAAACCCGCTGCTAGAGACCCCGGAAAGCTGCAGCTAGTCAGAAGAGCTAAGAGGTCCCCAAAACAACCCCTACAGAACTGTGGGGCCTGTGTGCCCCTCCAGTGGGGCTCACGAAGCTCTCCAGTCCTTGCTTCCTTCAAAATGGGAAATTGTTATAATATTAGCATTGGAAAACATTAGAGAAGCTTTCTTCCGCTCCTTCTGCAGCTTCTAGCCATGCTCATTCCTTCCCCTTTACCCCTCTTCCTTGCTCTCTCTCCCTCCCACCCAGGCTCTGGCCATGGCTCTTGCTCCTTCCTGGGGAGGCAGGTGCCTCCCCTGGCACGAGAGCTCCTCTTCTACCGCAGCCTCTGCATTGAGCTCTATGGGCACTATCCATGGTGCTAGACCCCATCCCAAACCAGGTTCCCCACCCGGAAGCACCATGGGTAGTTCCTCTAATGCCCCAATTTATTCGTTGCTATTATTATAAAGATAATAATAAGGGGATACCTTCTTGTACAGGTGCTCTTTGATTTTTTTTGATCTCTGGATAAGAAGTTCTCCTCTTTCTCTTCTATATAAAAAGTCTTTCAGGCATTCCTATTTTCAAAATACTTTTTTAAAGTTAACAAGTTGGCATTTAACATGCATCCTGTATGTAATTACTACTTAAATCCCAACTGGGAGGGACAGACCTGTAGATGGGCCGTTGACTGGGTCTGCACAACACATTAAGCCAGGGGGGTTGGCGGGTTTCCTCAATCCAGGACTCTTTCTGGGGGGGGGGGTTATAAGCTACCCTGGGGCGGCTTGCTTAGAAGCTACCCCAACAAGCCATGGCTTGTCATAAGGGTTAATAAATACACCCTGGTATATTGCTGTATCCCAAACCTGACACCATGATAGTTGGGACAAAAATGCAGAGGACCCCCTGACAAAAGATGTACTGCTGTAATGCAGGGGGCATGAAGGGGGCACTTCCTAATGGTTAGGACCCCTTGGGTATGGAACGGGCTTCCAGGGGAGGTGGCTGAGGCCCCATCAGTGTTCAAGGAAAGATTGGACAACCACATGTTGGATTACATGAGCAGAGGTGGCTGGAACCAGCGGTCAGACTAGATGGCCCGGGAGGCCCCTTCTAACTTGCTTTGTTTCTATGTTTCTATAATACCCTAAGGGTTCCCTTTCTAAGGGTGCTTTCCAGCCACATTTGAAAAAGAATTAAACATACTTAGCAGTGGACCTGTGCCGTGCCCATGCCAACAAGTGTCCACGCCAGGTTTCAACTTAGTCGTGTGCCATCGGCTATTTTTACACTTTTTTTAAAGGGCGGGTGTGGGAGAAGCACCCTCTGCAGCAGGATCCTCAAGGGGTGGGGTGGGGGGCTCCTGTGGCACAGGGGTGCCCTCCCCTTCCCAGCCGTGGATCCCACAGAGGCACTTTCTTGACACAGTCAAGCTGCAGCCTACGCGAAATGGTAGCCACAGTTCAGGTGCTCCGGAAGAGTCCCCTGAAATATTGCAGGAGGACTGGGGGGGGGGGGGGGAGGGGCACCCCACCAAGAGTAAAAGAATGCAGGGACAAGGATGCATGGACTGATCCAATGCATTCCTGACCCTCCCACTCATAATGCCCATTCGTAAGGAAAACAGGCATGTGATGGACAAGCAGACACGCCTCCCCTAACCAAGGGAGGAAGTAAATGGGCTCCGGGCGATGGCTGGAGGAAGAAGCGCTTTAACTACCTCTTCAAGGTACACGTCCTCGTTCCAGTTGCCGATGAGCACTCCGGGGCTGTATTCCCGGCCGCTCATGCTGGTTCTCCTGTTGAACATCCTGGCTGCTCCGAGGTGGAAGGGGCTCCTGGGCTGCGTGGAGACAGAGCGAGCAGGGGGGGCCAGGTCGAGCACAAAGCAGCCCAGCGGAAGCTGAACAAACAGCTCCAAGCAAGGCAGCTGATCTGTATTGAGTTTACAGGTTGCCATGGGGACTGTGCATGCTTGGGATTGGCCTTGCAGGAGGAGGGCTACGAGCCAATCAGAATGGATGAGGAAGGAGGCGGGAGCTCTTCTGCATCTCTTCACCCATATGGCAGGACTGGGGTCGGGCAGGGAGACGGCAGGGAGACAGGTTTAAGTGTTTTACGTGGGCTCGCTCTGGATGCCAAGATGATGCTGTTTACCATTTAAGCCACATCTGCAGGGCAGCAGATTGGAAACGGCTACCTTAAACCAAACGGCAACTTAAACCATTACACAGACATTTCTAACAAAACTATTCAGAGGAAGCCCAGGAATGTAAGCCTCATTAAGTTCAACAGGATTTACTCCCAGGTATGTGCATTTACAGCCTTTTGGCACGATCCTAGGCATGCTTACTTCGAAGTAAGGCTCACTGTGTTCGGTGAGGCCCCAGGTGAGCATGCATGAGATTGCAGCCTTTAAAAAAATCTGGAAGGAAAAATATTTTCTTTCTGCCCTTTTCAGCTGCTCTGGTGCCAGTCAAATGCTCTCAAGCCTTCCAGTGAGGACAGAATTTTCCAAAGCATGACATTTTCTGTAGATAATTTAAGTCAATAATTACCTCTCCAAGTTGAAGCCAAGTGGATTAAGCTGGAAAATGAAGGTCTTGGTGAATACAGTCCTTTGCAGCTCAGGTTTTAGGGCTCATACTCAAACTGAACCATTACATTCTAAGGGAGATTTATATAGATGGGTGAGCGGTTTGTTGATTTTGCATCTTACAAACTTGCCAATTTCATATTTCTCCAGACTAAGCATGAGCTGGAATGCCATTTGGTGCTAAAAATATATGTATGTTTCCAAAATTTCTGATGCTATTCACTTACAGACACACAGACAAAACTGTTCACGTTTTAAAAAGAATGCATTACATGTCATAAACATGTGCACAAAAATGTATCGTTCAAGGAGGAATGTCTGCATTCTGGGAAAAAGCAGATTAAACACATGCATTCAACTTTTTGTGCAAACTAAGAAAACATTGCAATCTGATGAGAAATGAAGCCAGAAAAAACTTAACATTGGAAAAACAAGTCAGACCAAATTGGTCACCCATTCACCTAGGATATGAGGGGCTCCTTGGGTAAACAAAACAGAACTATCCCACAAATAAAGAGCGAGTCCAGCTGGAACAGAGGTAGGTTGTGATTTCACCACCAAGGAAACTTCAAATCATAAGAGAGAGGGGGTGGTAGTAAAATGTATACCATGGTTTCCAGGGCATCATTTAAAGCATGGGTCCTCAAACTATGGCCCGCAGGCCAGATACAGCCCACCATGGTCATTTACCCGGCCCGCCTCAGAGCTTTTGGACTCATAAGGAGAAAACTATCTCCAAGCGATTCTGAAAGCTCTGAGCTGGCGCAGGTGTTCTCAGAAATTGAGCAGAGAGAGAGAGCCGGCACATGCCCAAATTGCAATAGCTCAACTGCGCGTGCGCTGGCTCCCTACCCACCTCCAATTGCACACATGCATTGGCTCTGAATACAGAGTGCGAATACAGAGCGGGAATACAGAAGAGAGGAGGGCGGAAGGGAGAGAGAGATGAAGACACTAAAAAAGGTATGAAAAATATAACTTTTTAAAACTCTTTTTAACTGTGTTAGCTACGTTCCTGGGCTGTGGGCCCAGTCGCGGCCGCCTCGCTGATCCAGGGGGTGGACAGGCTGAGGTGGAGTGGGGCTGCGGTTCCTGCACATCCGCCGTGGCCTTCTCTGGGCAAGCTGCCACCGTCAAGCAGCGGCCATGCTTCTTCCCCCGCAGCGGGGAGTGGCGAGAGGTGTCCCGCTTGGCCAACCGTGGCCCCATCCCTCACCTCAAAAAGCAGCCATGAGCTCCGGGGGAGCCGCCCCGTGCTCGCCTCTCTGGCCTCCCGCTCCTGGAGCCGGGCGAGCGCCTGCGAGGGGACCTTCCTTCCTCTGGCTTGGAAGCGGGGCGGCGGCGAGGAGCAGGAAGGCCGAGGCGAGCACGCCCTCATGGCTCCCCCTCGTGCCATGGTCTCCCTTTCGGCGGCTGGTGCGGCGTCCTCTTGGGCTTCTGCTGCAGCCTGAGTGAGTGGAGCAAAGATTTTTTATTTGTTTAATTATTTTCTTAAATTCTAATTCATTTTTAAATTTATTTTAATTTTAATTACTTTTTAATTTGCAGTGTGCATAGGAATTAGTTCATATTTTTTTTCAAACTATAGTCCACCCCCCTCCCAATAGTCTGAGGGACAGTGAACTGGCCCTGTGTTTAATTAAACCCCTGATTTAAAGTGTTGAACTTTGTGTGGCAGGCCAGGGATCCACGCCCCAGAAAAATTGCTCATTCACCTGGCAGCGGTGCAGCTTCCTTACCAAGGCAGAGAACTGTAATGCAACAGCGCCATCTTGTGGTATATTTGGGTAAATTCACATTCTTGCTTCCTGCATCATGTTCATTTTAAAGCTGGGTCACAAACCCCCTGCCCAGGGACTTACTGTATGTAGTAGGATATATAACTGTCCAGTTCTGCTTAATTGTATTGGAGTTGCCAGATCCCAGGTTTGGAAGCAACATGAGTGATGCAGAGTTTAGACAATTTAGAATACTCTGTTAAAATTGACCACTAAAAAGTTTCTTCGAATTTCAACCTGTTTCCTGCTATTCATATTATCCTTGCTCATCTTGTCTTTTCTTAGTATTATTACTATTGTTAGTATCTGTAGGTAACTCTCCCACCTATTTAAAGTTCTAATAAGGATGGTTCATTTATCACAGAGTGATTGCTGCATGAAAGTTTTAGCTCTGTGCATGGAACTTAAGCCCTTGGGAGTGCAAATCTGTGGCTCCCCAACATTGTCTAGGACCTCAGAGAAACACTCTGAGCTTAGGGCAGAGATTCGGCTTTAGCAGCCCCCCTTTGCCTCGCAGCCAGTTGTTCTTTCAGCACCAGCTGAGCTAAGGTGATGCCAGATGATTCTCCGCTCTGTGTTCCTCCCACCTTCCATCAGATGCCTGCAATCCTTCGAGTCTGGAAAGATATGGGCCGGGCCGTCACATTGGATGGCACCCTGAAAGACAAGTCACTTCCTACGCATATTTCCTAAGAGGCAGATGTATTCCCAAATGAACATGCAGGGGAGTGCTACAGAAGCTCTTAGTTACACAGAATTGGATCTCAGGATATTTGTTACTTCTTTCACATTAGACCAATGTTTTATTAAGTTCTGCTTGCTAAAATTGTTCTGCAATGTGTTTAATGCATCTTACAGTTGTTTAAAGAAAGCATGAAAGTTGTCTATTTCTTTGGTGCATACCTCACAAAACGGCACTCAGTGCAGCTTACAAAACAAGTTAAACCAGAGTCATACCATAAAATACAATAAAATACAATAAAAACATAGCAATTGCACAAAAATGGCATAGAGTCCAGTAAACCCATTTTCAGTGTCAAAAACATGGATGACTCATAAAAGATGGTTTAGTTTTTGAGTTGTGATCAGTGTCAAAGACTTGATTCGTGCTGATATGTACTGGTCATTCTTAAGATTTTTAGGCGCCCCAATAGAGAATGTGCCAGGCCCATAAAAGCATTCTGTAAGTTTCCAGAAATGACAGCTTGGACAACGACTACCAGTGGCCACCAGTCCTGACAGCTGGATGCTATTTCCAGTGTCAAACACAGTACGCCCGCATGTACCAGTTGCTGGGTAACACAAACAGGATGATGCTCCTGCATTCACATCCTGTTTGTGGGATTCCCCTGGGCAGCCAGTGAACAGTGTGCGGGATGGAAGGGATCTTATGCTCTTACACCCCAAGTGGTATTTCATGTCTTCCATCTTACTCTTAGAAGAAGGAGCGACTCATCTTCCTTCCTGGGAAATCTGGTAACTAGTTTCTATGTGGCTTGCTTTGTTTTAATAGTCTATCCTTGCTCTTCTGAGAAGTTTTATAAGCCAGAGTAGGGTAATACATTCCTTTCCATGCCACTAGCTAGTCTTATGACCACGAGCTTAATTATGCATCCCTTTGTATGAGAGATGGAGCACAAGTGCAGGAAAGATAGTCTTCTACCAGGCGTACATTTAAGAAAGTTTAGTCTCTGGACTTCGTGGTCTCACCCTCCTTCACCCTCTGGGCATTGCAACACGTGGTGAGCCGGCCCTGCTGTGTGTTCCAGCAGATTTAACTAGGCAGATCCCTGCGCCTCTGCCTCAGATCCCTGCCTTGGCAGCTCTTCTGCATTCAGCTCCCCAGAAAGGTGTGCTTGTGGCGCTTTTCCTGCAACAGAGAAAGGCCGTGCAAGTACAAACATCACTTAATTTTTACCTGTACACACCACATCTCCATTTTGCAAAACCACACCAAAGTGCGAAGATCAGCCCTGTAAACTGGGGTGGGTATATGCTGACGTGCGAGGCGGGAAGGAGAGCAGAGGCCAAAAGGGCATTTAGCAGGCCGCCATTCCGTCCCCGCCCTTCTTCCCCACGTGCTGCTGGCAGCGGTGTGCCTGGGAGAGTGGCCCTGCTGGCACGGCACACGGGGCTTGATTCAGGTGAGCACCCGGCCAACGCTGGGTGTGCTCACCAAGAAATCGGACTCTGAGCCGCTGCAGAGTGGACCAGAGTCCAGGAAGACACAACCAGGGGATTTGGCGGATTTTCTGCACAAAATGGATTCTCACAGATCCCAAGTGTATATCTGTGAATTGATGGGATGAACTGATGATTCATGAACGGTTAAACTGTGAAAAGATAATACGATCATCTTTGTTGTGTTTTAATCAAGTTATTCTGAATTTGGTTGCATGCATATATAATATCCAGAAACCATTATTGTGGAATGGTTTCATCTTTGTACATGCATCTTTCGAATACAAGACGCCCTCTGGAAAGGAGGACAGTTGGCCATCCCGCTTTTGACCTGTCCCTTGTGCTATTTGATCCAAATTGCAGGGCACG